AGACAACCCCTATTATTTTAGTCCAAAATCAAGAAATTCATATTTTAACACAGTCCGTTTTTACTACGACTTCGAATTGTGAACTGGAAAAAAAAATATTAATTAGGGACAACGTATCGCCTTATATACAGAATAGTATATGTGTGTGTGTATGTGCGCGTTTGTTTATCTGCATATATATATATATATATATATATATATATATATATATATATATATATATATATAGTCTTATTCTGACCTATCAAGCTCTGTAGAATTGTTATAAACTAAAGATACAAGATCTGTATTAAAGAATGCACGCTAGTGAAAGTCATTATTTTGTGAACATGTTTCAGTCTTGTTGTGTGATTTGGAGCGACGTTTTGTAAATTTCCGTAAAGGACCTGCCAGGGCCGGATGTGGCTCCCGAAGGCCTAGCAACTTTCCTGCGGATCATTGCCAGCTGTATTGTATTAATTATCTTTCTATGCTGGAAATTGGACCTCTGGCCAGGAAAGACAAACATTATGTCACCACCTTTCTACGCTGTGCAATCACTCGGATATCACTGACAGAATCTACCCCATAATAGGAGTAATTAATTCTGGTCAATTAAACCAGGATCAAGCTAAGCCCCGTAACCCGGCTCTCTCCAGTGACCGTCCCTAGATAATTATGCTTTTCTCCGCGACGGATCCCTGTCAGTGCTGGTTATTGATTTAACCCTATAATTTACCTCTTGCAAGTAGAAACTAATTTCTCCTTCTTCTTCACGTGGACGTGGACTTCTAGTCATTCTCCCTGGTCTCTGGGCAGTCAGATCGGACGCCCGTGTGCATTGTTACGCATGTAAAAAATCCAAAGGCAGTTGGAAATCGAAAAGAGTAGCCTAACGGCGCTGCCCTGGCAACAATTTGGAGTTAAAAATCTACCTAAAGTATTTCAGGATCTTCGCCGGTGCTACAGAGCTTGTGCACTGTGCTAAGCTTCTTCGGACTTATACTTGAGTTATAAGAAGAACGGAGCACTTATGGGATACTACCCGTACGCCATGATGTTGATCCGTTGTTCAAACGTCAAACCTCTGATATTACTGACGAAATCCAGTCCATATTGAGAGCAATTATTACTGGTCAATTTAACCAGAATCAAGCTAAGCCCCGTGACCAGGCTCTCTCCATTGACCTTCCCTATATAATTAGTTGTTTTCCCCCGCGACAGAATGCTTGTTAGTGCGGGTTATTGATTGAACTGGATAACTTACTTCTGGCAAGTAGAAACTAATTTCTCATTAATCTATTTTTCGTGTTCACCGTCTGTATGCTCCGGCAAAAAAAAGGTTGTTTGTCCACTTTTAGACTTTAATTAATAGTCTTGTTCCACATTCGTTTTACAGATCTGCCTTATCCTTATGCTGCCGGTTGGTTGCTTGCCCTCCGCCCATTAATTTGGAAAATGACGAAACGGCCTCTTTGTAACAATGTATGGAGATTATCGTTAAAGTATATGTGTCTACATTTTATCGATGTAAGAATGTAAACATCTTGCGTTTACTCACATTGAAAACGTAGATGCGTTCCTTGGGTCGTGCTGAGAGAATGTAAGTTAGCAAAGATGTGGGAGGACTAGAATGGGGAGAGTCATATGATTGCCAAAAAAACATGGAGAAGAGAGCGAAAGAAAGATGGGGAGGATATGGGAAAAACGACTTGGCGTTAGTTGGTTGAGGGCCTATGCTCCATTGGGGGATAGAAAGGCAGAAGAAGAAGAAGAAATAATGGGTAGGGGTGGGGGCGGGGAAAGGGGGAGGGTGCTATTTTAATTTTAAATGCAAATTTTATAGTTCTCCCCCCCCCCACACCCCCCCCTCACACACACACGCACACACAACAGCCTTGATGTAGAGAGTGAGCTTCGCTGCTCCTTGTCTAACATCAGAATTGTTTTGTTTTTTGCGACTATTACATTTGCATTTATAATAAAAATAGAACCCTCACCCTCCCCTGATTACACACACACACACCTCGTTGTTTTTACTGACGCACAGTTTTGAAACTTCTGACTTCACGCACACACTAGCTGTACTGACAGGCATACATCACCAAACTGGACCTTCATTTGCTAACGCAGTTTCTTCTATAGGCTTCACTGATCAAAATACGATAACAAAACGCTGCTTCTCTTTGGTGCATGTCGAAAATGGGGCAGCCATCTTTAAACTGTTACTATGACGTCATCGTTTTCGCCGCCACTATCATGTCATGCTCTTAACTATCTTGACATCTTTAGCATCATCATTGACAGGTTACTAGATAATGACATGATTACTGTATTTTCTATCACACTTTGAAGGCTTTCGTTAGAAACCCTGTGATGTGTGTATGTATGTATATACCCATCTCATATTTGATGGAAACATCTTCAGGATCAATCTCATATATGTTATATACATCTTCCGCACCGACAGAGTAAAGTAAGGACCCTTTTCCTAGCCTTCAGGCTGTTGGACATATAGGGCTAGACATATATTTTATAGATCCATCGCCACACGGTGGGTGATGTAGTCAGCATCACGGCGGCGGCCTTTAATTCCCAGTGCAGTTCCTGTTACCCACTCAAGACTGGGTCGACATGTCAACCAAGATGATTTGTTTTTAAAAGTCCGGCTCTATGAGGACCCCAACCCAGGACTTTCTGATCCACCACAGGCGAGTGTTTATCTGCTACACCACAGCAGTTCTCAAACCTAAATAGTACCAGACTTTATACATCTGTCGCATACTAGACTTACAAATAAATACACACAAACATCTATGAGGTCTCAAAAATTAAGCTTGGATACAGTGTACGACTGTTGTGTTTGATAATATTGCATGGTAAGGCCCTACGGTACTATTCACAAAAGTCACTCTATCTCGTCGGCCTCGAGATTTCGTAGCGGTTCCCAAGGACTGTTCTATGTTCTATGGGTGTTTTGAGATAGCTTCTTTCACCGTCTCTAGTCAGCGTGCTGAAAAGTCGCTCGTGTTCGTTTGACGCGGTCGACAGTGTTACCCAGACGATAGTGCGCAGCTTTTTTTTCGCAACTCTCTTTTCTGGGAACGACTGTTTCTGGAATGTGTTTTTGTGAGTAGGTCGACGAGATATGATGACTTTTGTGAGTTGCACCGGCGCGACTATTGTCTGAAGTCCAAGAGTTTTTTTGGTCCACAAGGGGAAAAAAATCCTAGATCTCAAGAAATAGGCAATTGTTAGCCACACTAGCTAACCTTTAAGCTACGAGACGAACGCACCTGGATTGAAGTACAGGTAGGGCTGCAGCTGGTTCATGAGGTAGTTGGGGATCATAAGCAGCACCGACAGCACCACCACACTAAACACAGCAATCCTGGCCCGGATCAGCCGCCGCACCCTGGTCAGGTGACCTTTGGCAGGTGAGAATATGTGTTTGTACCTAGTGACGAAAACGTAGAAAAACATGGATTAATATTTAACTAAAGAAAACAAAAAAGTTTTCTGACGCTGCTTCTTTTTTTGCTTCTTTTGTTGCTTTTTCCGCTGCATCTGCTACTTCCTCTGCTGCTGCTTCTGTTTCTGCTGCATAGATTGCTTCTTCTTCTGCTGTTTTTGCTACTTCTTCTATTGCTTATCCTGCTGCTTCTTCTGCTGCTTTTTCTTTTGTTTCTCCTGCTTATTTTAGTGGGTTTTTTTTTACTGCTGCTTCCTTTGTTTGTTCTTCTGCCTTTTCTTCTGCTGCTGCCGCTTTATCTTCTGCTGCTTCTTCTGCTACTTTTACTGCTCTTTTGTTGCCACTTTTTCTGATTTTCAGTCTTTAATTTAGTGCCGGTTACGTGTCGACATTTTCCCCATATGATCTCATTCCTAATTAAATCTATTTTATTCATTTTACCTGTTCTGTAACATTCCACTGCTTTTAAAAGTAAGTTAGTACAAGGCTTTAAAAAAGAAAAGTTTTCATTAAAAGGTCGAAGGCAAGACAGCAAGAGGTGGGCAACGATACAAGTGGGAGGAAAACTCTAAGAGATGGTAGGGAAACAGTTTGAGAAAGTGCACAACCGGATAAAACATAGTGTATTGGAAATCCATTGCAACCAACCATCACTGTGGGGACGGCACCAGATTGGTTGATTGAATTTTTTTAGCTATGGAAACTAATGGGACACCCTGTTTAATATACATCTTTCCCAGTCTTGGTTCCGCATAAAATAACAGACTCACTGCCTTCTATCAAACATGTCGTAAAAGACGACTAACTAGGGGTTTCCCTTCGAAGTCAAAGAGCATATGCCTTAGAGGCTAGGAGCCAAAAGTCTGCATAGAAATAAGTCAGACTTGTAAAAATAAAATATGCACGCAAACCTCCAGTTCTGGAAATAGACTAACAGGCAGACCCCCCCCCCTTCCTCTCCCCCCCCCCCCCCCCAGGCGAACTCCAACAAAAATAATATTGAACATTTATGTCTGTAAATTTAAGTCTGTCTAAGAAACAAAAAATTCACTCTTCTCTGTCTGCGTCTGTCTAGTGTCTTTGCTAAGATTCAGGCTAGCGGTCTTGTACCCGCTCAACTACACAAATCACCGCCCAGATTTGGGCTCACCCTGACACACTTACCTCCATACTCCATCATTAAGTGTACCCAGACTTCACTGGCCGAAGATTACCTAGGGTATCTTGAGCCCTCTTTGACATCGAGATAACAGGGCCGCTTGGTATACACCATCAAGTTGAAGGAATCTCCTTTAAAGGAAGTTTTGGGTCAATGTTCTTCCATTTAAACTTCAACTATTGTATAGTGTGTTCTCCAGCTTTTCCGTTTTGGTCACAACATTCAGTAGAAATGTGGCTTTCACATTGGCTACTTCTAATGCGTGTTTAGTCTCGTTGAAGACAATGCTTTAATTTTGTGTTTTTAGTTTTTTGTTTGTTTTTGTTTTGTTTACCAGTTGAGCATATGCTTTAAAATCACAAGGAACTGAAAGGGTAAAAGGAACTGTGGGTAAACACATATTTTTAAAGGGAAGTTTTTATTAAAGAGTATAGTTTGAAAGTACTAGAGAGTTTTGGGAAATGCCATTCTGGTCTCAAGACTCAGTGAAGGAAAAACCCCATCTGCACCTCCAGGCGGTAGAGGACGGTAAACACACTGCGGTGTGGCCAACGCAGCTATGGGGACCGAGTAACCGCCGGCATAAGTGGACATCTCTGGGGTGCCCTCCGCTGTAAGCAGGAGCATCATAGAGTAGGACACTCACTTGCTCTAGCAATCGAAAAGGTTGCTGAAAGCTGAGGACATGGTCTAAAGCCATGTGGATGTGGAAAGCAACGGGAAACTACCACAGTACTATCCCAAGAAACTCAAATGACATCTTGAACATCTGAACATCAAGGAAGATTGGCTAAAAAACAGCATCCTGTCTCGGAAGCTGAAATACTTTATTCATATCAATCGCCAGGACGGACTGGAAAAAAATAATAGCAAAAGGCATGATACCAGGAAGGAGGGGCAGGGGCCCACGGATACGAAGATAGGGACAGGACATAAGTGACTCCTTGAGTATGAAAGTACATGAGGCAGGGGAACTGACGAGAGACTGAGTTTCTTTCTGGCAGACTGTGATGAGAGCGACGTTCTGCAAAGGACCTGCTACATGATGATGATAGTTTGAGGGTGTATATCCCCGTGTTGGTTCCGGGACCACATTTTGAAAGAAGAAAATGAATTAATGCACTGCATCCTAACAAGTATGTCGTTAAAAACGAATGATTTTTTGTTTTGTTGAAAGTGGGTGTGCTGGTTTGAAATGTGCAGATACCGTAGCCTAGCTGTAAACTGCAACATAAACTGTTTTACTGCGCTTTTAAGGATGAAGGAAGAAAAGGAAATAAAGTCGAGAGGATTGACCTCAAGCATCATCATCATTATCATCATCATCATCATCATCATCATGATAATCAATGCCCTGTTAAGCCATTATACGTCACATTGAGCTTACAGTCTATTCCTCCATTCATTTCTGCCCTGTGCAATCCGGCACTGCCGATGTCTCAAATCAACATTCTTTGCAGCGTTTTTTTTTTTTTTTTTGGGTCGTCCTACTTCTTCAATCCCATTATTTTCCATTTCAGTTACTGTTGTTGATTTTCGGCTTGGCTCTTCTCAGAATGTGTCCAATATATCACCATCTCCTTTGTCTTATAACTGTTTTCACCAGTGATTGCACAAACAGTTCTGTTATTTTCACAGCCATCTTCAAGTCGTCAGTTTTACGGTCAAAATTTTCTTTACGCATTTGTTTTTAAATGCATTTAACTTTCGTTGTATACCTAAGTGGTTGCCCAACTTTCAATGGAAAGTATTGAAATCAGCTTTACTGCACAGGGTTGCATTTCTCTTGGCTCAATATCACTGAGCAGAACGACATCATAACATAATGCTCTAACACTTTATCTCAAGTGATGATCCCTACGACGTTCAGAGTGCGAGGCAAATGGCTTAATCATTAATCTTGAGACATCCCACTTTATTAATGACATTTATGTTGGACTAAATTTGTAAAGGAATGTGCTGTTTGTATCAAGTTAGTGCAGTCAGTGATAGACATGGACAGTCCTAGACAAAACATACAGAATACATGTCCGAGCAGATGTACAAGAAATGTGGTGGAAAAAAAAAATCAAGATACAGAGTCACCAATAAAGAACTAAGAACAATTGTAGACACAGAACATGTAAATGAGTTCCCAGAACATCAAAGAATCAACTGGTTTGGTCACCTAGTCAGAATAGAACAAAAAGTCATCCAGCAGCTAGAACGTACTACATCAAAACAGCAGACTACAAGTCAGGCGGCCGAACAAGAAAGAAACTGGTAGAGGGAGTAAAAAAGACTCTACAGAAACAAAATATGACATTACCACCGCCATTCCATCTTCTGCTAGTAACGTAGGAAAGGACAGAAAACTACAACTAACTCCTCTATGCGACGCTTTATGGTAAAAGCAGAACAAATGAGAAGAAAGAAGATGATGACTGAAGAAAGGAGATGATGAGTGGAGAAAGGAGATGATGGCTGGAGAAAGGAGATGATGACTGGAGGAAGAATTATTGTTGAAAGAAGATATGTTAATCAAAATCTTGTTAAGGAATTATATTAACAGTAATGTGTGTTAATCGAAAGATTTTTTTTTTTTTTTTAAAGAATGTAATGGAAGGATATCATTTTTCAGAATTAATTGGCAGTGCTCTAGACAGAAGGCTGGGGCAAATATGAATACCAACGCCACATGGCATGGGTTATAAAACAGAAGAAGAAGAAGAAGAAGAAGCATTTTCCATTCTTTCGTTCCCAGATAATAGAGAACAGAGGAAGCTCAAAGAAATGCTTCTTTTGGATTTTTATCTTTTTCCGTTCTTGCCATTAACGTAATTAGTTTGTTCGTTTAATGTTGTCGGGTGGGATATTAATGGGAGCCTACTGATTGTATATTTACAGTAAGAGAGGTTTTCATTTTGGGCTTTTGATTAGGTTTAGGTTTAGATGACAGATCGACATCATGGCACAAGGGTAGTAACCCATAATTGTTCCGTTCTACTTCTAACTCAAGCCTGAGTACGAAGATTCTCAGCGCAGTGCACGAACTCCGTAGCACCATCGAGGATCCTGAAATGCTTTGGGTAATTTTTTTTTTAAATTCACATTTTGGACCAGGCAGCTCCGTTAGGCTACTCTTTTTCAATTTCTAACTGCCAAGGAATTTTTGTAACGTCCACACCAATACACACGGGCGTCCGATCTTACTACCTAAAAAAAAACAACCAGGTGAATTACTAGAAGTCCAAGTAAAAAAAAAAATCCCAGCCTTCACCAGAACTTGAAACAGGGCGGGCCTCCAGCACTCGAGGCGGACGCTACAGTTTATCAATGTTTTAGAGGGCGTAAAACTTTTCTTATAGCTGAACTGCCTCTGCTTTCAGGACGGGATGCTGTTTATGATCCAATTCTCATTATTATTACTAGTATCAATAATCAGACCACTCATGGAAGCAAAATGCCATGGACCGCGATGTGTGTAAAAGGCAAATATAGAGCAGAAAGGATGAAAGCTGAGCGTCTGAAAAAAAAGGGATTAAACACAAATGTTGACAACAATGGTCCTAAAATCCCAAGCTAACATTGTGGAAGACTTTTCTTGACACGGACGGGTCTTGCTAGTCACACTCGCCATCGCCATGGGCTGTGTCTCATGCCTCTTAATAGCGCAATATAACACTATCGTCTGGAAAGACGGAAAGGTGCCAGTCATTATCAATAATTATTCAGACCATAACATATTTGTTCTCTCATTATTTTTGTTATTACGATTTTAATTTCTTTCATTTCTAAGTATCATAATTATCACTGTTATCTTTATTGACATGATTAGTGTCATTATCAAAACTATTGACATATATTAAATCTATTATCATCATCATCATTACAAACAACTCCACTAGTCTCTCAATATCATTGTTAACATCGTTGTCATATATCCTTGTAAGTATTCTTTTCTATTTTTTCTGTCTTTTTTTTCCTCTTGTCCTCTTTTCTGTCCTATTTTGTGCTTGTTGATATTCTTTTTTTTTTTTATTTCAGAGGTAATTTTACTAAATAAACAAGTGAAGAATAAGGTCGTGAATTCAGCCCACATGGAAAAATTTCAAGAATTTAGCTCTTAAGAGATAATTTCACGAATTCAGTACTTTAAGGATAATGTTTTGTCAATAGCCGCTAGAGCTGTATTTTTTTGTTTTGTTTTTTTTTTGTTTTGTTTTAATATTGCATGTACATACACAGGGGAAAACTTCAACACATCTTCAGTTCGAGTGATAATTTCATGAATGCAAATCTATTGGGATAATTTCACGAATTTAACACGAATTTAACACTTGAGATACGAGTTTATGATTTCACTCACTGTGGATAACTGCAATAATTCGCCGGGTGGGTATTTTAACGAATCACAAATTTGAGAGACAGCCATAAATCTGATATGGGGAATACAATTTCAAGAAGACAAACCCTGACGCATAATCTCCCAAAAAAAAAAAAAAATTCAACAGCTTATTAATATTACACGAATCCTATATTCGATGGATAGATTCGAGAATTTTGTTTTTGAGAGAAAAGTTCGGCACAAATCCTACCTGTGGGGTTTATGTCTCCACTTTTAACCCGGCTAAACCGGATTGCGCGGTGACCTTGTTGTCCGGGTTCACGCCCAGGGGTAGTCAGAAAAGCCACATTTTCCCCAGATTTTACGGTATTTATCATGGAATCAAGGCCGAAGGGTTTCGATATCCATAATACCGAGCCTAAGGGTAAACAACTCATGGCTTCTGGATACTTAAAAAAAAATGTCTCCACTTTTAAAAATAAAGACTAAACCCTCTTCCCTTAAAAAAACAAAAAAAAACAATTCGTAGTGAGCGACTATTTAGGGGTGTCTTCTTTGAAGTGGAAGTGTATCTGCCTGAGAGGCAGACACATAAGACAAATCTGAAGAGGAAAAAAAATGATGTGCACGTAAAACTCAAGCACTGGATCAAGCCCAAAGTATAGGAGCGGATGATCAACCATCATTTTCCGCCAGAATTTACAGTCTGTGAACACAAAGAAAACGAAGAACACAAATCTGAGGCCTACAATCAGATATAAAACCGAAGCCACAGTCAGATGCAAGCCTGAAACTACATCAGATACAAACTTGAAGCCACAATCAGATGCAAGCCTGAAACTACATCAGATACAAACTTGAAGCCACAATCAGATGCAAGCCTGAAACGACAATCAGATACAAACCTGAACACAGCAAGAGTGACGCCCAACCAAATGCTAATGGTGTGTGTAGTCAAGGTGAAGTCCACGTGAAAGATCAGAAACGTCATCCAACCTGGAGGAAACGACAGATGATATAGTTTGAGAGGACAGACAGTTAGCGAAATATACATATATACCGAGTTATTGATAAGACCCAGTATCTTAGCACTCGAGACATTCCCAAAAGCGTTTCCGTCCCCATCTTCAGTTGCATGGTCTAATTCCAATGGTACCACTAACTGCCTGATTGTATGTCGGTCTCGCTCCTTCCCTGAGTGTCAGGACACGGCAGGCCAGATCCACTGGTCATTTCTGACTGCACTGATTCTCCCCAAACGTGGTGATCCATACAGATACAAGGACAGAAAAATTGACAGACAGAGAGACAGTCGGATACTCAAGAAAGTAAACAGGTAAATAATTACACAGACAGACAGGGGGTCACACAGTCAGACAGACAGACAAATAAAAAGACAGTCAGACATACAGACAGACAAACAGCCTAGCAGACAGGCAGGCTAAACGTAGAAGCGTGAGGGTTGGATGGATGGTTTAATAGATGAACTGATGGAAAGTCAAACACAATGAAGTTTAGACATGACGACTAGGCAGGCGTACACATTAACATACAGAAAAAGCACAGATCGATAGAATTGACAGTCATACTTCTTCTTCTTCTTCTTCTTCTTCTTCTTCTTCTTCTTCTTCTTCTTCTTCTTCTTCTTCTTCTTCTTCTTCTTCTTCTTCTTCTTTCTCTTCTTCTTCTTCTTTTCCTCCTCTTCTTCTTCTTCTTCTTCTTCTTCTTCTTCTTCTTCTTCTTCTTCTTCTTCTTCTTCTTCTTCTTCTTCTTCTTCTTCTTCTTCTTCTTCTTCTTCTTCTTCTTCTTCTTCTTCTGCTTCTTCTAATATTTCACTGGTTGCAAACTTCCACGGAAAGTTCTGGCTATTCGTCGAGTTCTGAAACTTGAGGTTTGCAAGTACATTGTTTAACAGATCTGGCTTATCAGGCAGATGCACTCACACTTCAAATAAAACACCCTTCATTAGTCGACTTGGACGACATGCTTGTTAGCGAGCAGTGTGTATCTTCTCTGTTCCCACGCAATGGGGTCATAAAACCTACCTGAGGGAAGGATGCGATGCGATAAGATAGATAAATAGATGTAGCCCTCTCTTACATGTACACAAACATAATATACATACACAAACGCACACATACACACACACACACAAGCACACTAATATATACACAGACACACAAACACATGTGTATATGTGTATATATATATATATATATATATATATATATATACACACACACACACACACACAGAGGGAGGGACTGACATACAAATAGAGAGAAAAGCACACACAGAGAGAGAGAGAGAGAGAGAGAGAGAGAGAGAGAGAGAGAGATAGAGAGAGAGAGAGATGCAAACAGACAGACTGAGAAAGAGAACGAACTTTACTTATTATTTAAGGTCACAAATTGGGCTTTTAGGGCCGTCTTACATTTTTTCGTTTGAAACACTTATCTTTCAAACCCTATTGCATTGTTATCAACTAAGCATGGTATGTTCCGCTAAAAAATGCAAACTATGAGGATCGGGGGGGGGGGGGGGGGAGCACCACACACACCCACACAGAAAGAGAGAGAAAGAGAGCGAGACAGAGAGGCGAGAGAGAGAGAGAGAGAGAGAGAGAGAGAGAGAGAGAGAGAGAGAGAGAGATTTTCTCCCTAGGCTAGTAATGTATTTTGTAGTTAATTTACAGGTTTCAATTGGAAACAACACCCCCCCCCCCCCTTTTCCCTAATGCCTAGGGCTAGTTTTGATATTACAAAATACTACAGACACAGACTCTGCTATTTTCATGGAATAATGACGAGAATACCCTGGGCAGATAATTGAAGTAACGAAAATGTGTTGACATAGTCTGCCTCACAAAGAGATCAGTTTACCAGCATCAGAAGAAAATGAGCAACCAAATGAGCAAGCAAATGAGCAAGCTGATCGGCTTGTAGGTGAGGCCACTGGATGAGGGTGGACGAGCCATGGACTAGGCTGATGAATTGAATTCTTTATGAGAAGAAAGACGTCTGCGAGGACCAAGTGTGGACTGAACACGCAACGATGTTCAGACTGCAAGAACAGCAAGTCAAACAGGGTGTGGCAAAACAAGAGCATTATGAAGGAAACCATAGAAGAATAAGAATAAACCAACATAGAACAGGTGTCGCCAGCAGCTACACTGTCGTGAGGTGAGCAGCCAAACATACACGATGGACGAGTCGTTAATCTGACTACCCTTCGCTGACAGTCAAATTTCAAACTTAAACCCGTCCAGAAGGGTATATAGTCCCTTATATTGATATATACCTTTATCTGGTAATATATTCATTTCTAGAACCTCTAGTTGCTTTGATAAATCTTCATTTTCAAACTTGCAACTGTAGGTTGAAGATTTCTGGTAATTAATTCAGAAATTCCTGTAAGCCGGTTTACTCCTTAGGCATGAATACAGGGGACTTCTTTCCTGGTGACGCTAAACGTAGTTTGAAGCGGGCATTTTCTGCCTGACTGCCTAGAAGAACAGATGTTCTCAAATGTGTCTCGTACATTTATGCTTTGAGGAGGCGGCCTTTGGTATCTAGGACATTTCCTAAGCTTGGGTAAGTTGACTATAGTTTACGAGTACCATAAAATATGTCTTTTTAAAGTCTATCTGTCTCCACTCTGGCGCTCATCTCCTGTCACTATTACTGACTGAACAATAGGGATGATATTTGGAGACTTATACTGTCTCAGTATCCTCAGAGCTGTCCTCTGAATGATTACTAATGAGGATGTTAATAAACTGAGCTTGACATGTAACCCCTGAGATGACTGCTAATTCTGAGTTCCTTCTTGATACAGGATGATATCTCCTTGGAGGCCAGGCAGGGAATCAGCAGTCCACAAAACCACCTACAAGAAAGTCACCTATGTCTAAGCCAGTGGTGGGCATCAGAATGTAAACCTAACTGTGGTCACCAAGTAATGAAATCCTCCAGTTGGTCTACAGACAACATTATGGGTGTTGTACCTCCATCATCATTTATCCGGCAGTTTGTTTGTGCCTCAAGTGTTTGACTTGGTACCTGAGATCCTCTCCAGGAGCTTGGGTGTATCTCCAGTGTTCGAGTGTCTAGTGTGGGACTGTCTTGAACGTAACAACAGAGTGACTGAACATCCAGCCAGTTCAAGAAACCAGGGATTCAGATAAGTGTGGGCAATCATGGGTTTATTGCCAGGCTTCACTATTAAATGTCCACACTCATCATAAGGATGATCTAGGCAGACTCTGGAACATTTATACACGTTCAGTCAGATCGAGTTTGAAGTTTTGGTCCTTATATCACTCTGGGTTCTTAAAGTTCTTTGCTGATTCTTATATAATGTCTGTGATACACTTATTACGTATTTCTAAAGTTTCACTATTGACTGGAGTGTCACTAATTCATTGTTCTTAGCTGTATAAAATACATGTTTGTTCAATCAATAATCTTTATCTGTGTTAACATGGTTATGATAGTATACTATCATAACCTGGGGGCTACCTTTTTATAGTAGTGAGGGTGTCCAGCCAAGTGTGCCTAAGAATATTATATATTTTGTAGTGCCAAAGCTTGAGTTGCCCTACTCCTGAAATAAGTTGAGCGTATATTGGCCACGGATATCCCTTAGACCAATACGAGCCAACGACTCAACATAACTATTTCAGAGTGCTGTTGGTTCTTAAGGAGAAATCCTTAAATCAGGCACGTGACAGGAGCGATATGTGACATACACAATGCGAAATTTACTGAAGCGGGTACCCTAGACTGAATGGGTCGATTTACAGTAATGATGATCTGTCGACTATTGTAACGAAAACAGGAGTGACTGCATCAAGCTAATACCAAAAATGCATCCAATGAACAGACTAAGAAACTTGACGAAAAAAAAAAAGGAGGAAAAAAAGGGGAGGGGGTGAAGAAATGCACACACAAGAAAAATCGGACGTTATGACCGGAGCCTTTGTCGACACAAACCGCAGCAAAGCAAAAACACCCTGCCTCTTGTTTCTGTTATGGTTTAGGTTGGGAAAGGCTTGTTATTCATTTTTGCATCCTAGTTAACTTAAGGTTTCTTGACACAGTACAGAGGGTTATTAACTATCAGAAGAAACACAGTCCACCTTTCTTTGACACATCCATTGTAGTAGAAAAGTAAAGGAGAGTAAGATAGGCAGGAGTGACATAAAAATCTTCAGGGGCTGGAAAAAGGCGGGGAGGGTGGGTTGGGGATTTAATGCCTGTCCCCTTATCACGGGGCCGCGTTAGCGCAGTCGATAAGAGGCTCGCTTTCAAATCCAGCTGCGACTCGCTGCAGCCACGGTCGGTGTTCGAAACCAGGCGGTTCCCAGGATTCACCTAGCCTCCAGGAAATGGGTACCACAGATGCCACTCTGGTGTAGATGGAGGAACGTCGCTGTAGCTACAGAGTAACGTGCGGACGGCGACACAGGCGGACAATTCTTATCAGCTTCCGTACTGGTGGCAGATCACTTATGGTTTATAACCGTGTGCAATGACACTGGTTGACATCTCCCGACTTTACCTTTACCTTTTTATATTCAAGCATCGCTAAAGCTGGTCAGGGGAAATTGACAGAAAAGATAGCACGATTGGACAACTGTAACAGAAATGATTGTCCGTACACGTTACAGAAAGAACTGGTGACCAAAGCTACAAAGTAATTGCTATGATAATAATCGCCTTGTTTATTGCGAACGAAGAAGAGGAAGCAGCCACAGCAGCAGCAGCAGAAGAAAAAAGAAGAAGAAGAAGAAGAAGAAAAAAGAACCAAAAGAAGAAGACGATAAAGACGAAGAGGTAAAGAACAAGGAAGAGAAGAGGGTATTCTAACCTTAGGCAGGAAAAGGATACACTCATGCATTGTACACTCTAACAATAACACACTTCTATGTACAAACCACCATGTACACACTACCGAAGCAGGAGGATAAAGAGATTCGACACTCAATCTGTACACTTTTCTATGGACAAACCACCATGTACTTATTAGGCAGTAAGAAGAAGGAAAAGAAAAAAGAATAGGACACTAAACTCAGGCGTGTACACACCACTGTCTAGACACTGCAGCATTCCCACTGTCACGTACGCACTGACATGTACTCACCTAAAGAGTTCCTCTCCGCCGACAAATTCCAAGTTAAACAATAGAAATGCAATGAAAAAGGCACATAGGAGATCATCGTCAGAAGGTCAAACACGGCCAACCAGGTGAGAATACAGTTCACAGGAGTGTGCATGTGCTTCCGGGTCAGGATGGTGATATTGAGCACGTTCATGGGGATCCCGAAGGCACACACGATCAGGCTAAGGACGCCGTGGACCGACATGTAGACGTTGGCCACGATTTCCAGCGTTGAAGCATGCATGACTGTGCCTGACGTCCTAGTGGGATCAGTGTCCTCATGCTGCGGGCAGCCACATGTGGACGTGTTGATGCTATGCTGCATGATGTGGCGTGGCTTTCTGTTGTCTATCAATAAACTCGATAGGTCTACAATAGACTCTCTCTATGAAGTAGAATACACAGACACGACAGGTCTGCTAAAAAATGCGAGAAATGTCTCAGTTATGTTTATATTACATAAACAGTCGTGTGCAGGCTCTACAATGTACTTTGGTTATGTCTTGCAACAAATACGATGATAGGTTGAAAATAGACTAAAAGAATGTCTGCCTATTTCAGTTTAAGAAGACAGACAGACACGAAAGGTCTGCTCGAAGGCATGAGAAGTGTCTAATTTATGTGTGTGTGCCGGCTCCATAGTACAAGCTAGCTACAGAGTACCGGCTGCTGTCTTTGTGGATATTACATGGAGAGGTACCAGTATCTGCCACGGTGCGACTCTCGAACCACTGTAGAAAAACTAAGACTTTTTTAAATTATCAATTTGTTTTTTTTTTTTTTTTAGCTAACAATCGCCACTGAAATCGACCATAAAATTGTCGAATATATACCGATACGATTCATCTACTTATAGGATCAAGGGTTTATATGTCAGTACAGATACTATCACACATTGGCGGTCTTCGTATGTTGAAGGCTTCACTGGCTGTTGAATATGAGGACGGGGTACGTATGGTAATGTCCCGAGTGCTTAGATGGGGGTTCTTGACTGAATTCAACTCAAATCATGCACTTGCGCGTTCCTGTATGTCTTGTATCTCAATGATTGAGGTGGGTGCTTCATAGGCACATCAGTTTATGTTTGTTTTAAGATCTCGGCACAAACTGTAGATCTATTCATAAACTTCACAAGCTTCTATTTTTGCCAAAACAGAGGTATCCTAATGCCACATAAAATGTCTCTTTTTTGCCAGAGCAAATGAACTTTTATACCAGAATATGTGTCTCTTTATTCCATAACCCATGTATCTTTATGTCATAACATATGATTCTTTTGCTGAAGGAAATGGCAATACCACAGTGTGAACTTGATGACTAAACTATTTCTTGTTCTTTCTAGATTTTAGATTACAAATTAAGTCTAGTCATGAACCCATCACTTTTCTCTTTATATTCGAATTTCAAAACAGACGGTAAGTCTGTTATCAGTCCAATTATTTCGCTAAATAGCAAAAGAGATGAAAGGTTTATTAACTGACTTCGAGGCTTCTGTGTTAGGATTACGACACATGTGTAGAGCTAATCACAGGCAACGTCGCTTGGCAGCTCTGAGGAAGCTAATCTGAAAGTTCAAGAGTATAATTAAGTAAGAATTTGGTTAAAACTTCAACTACTCCAGCATGCTGTGAAAAGAAATACAATCTAGAATACAATCGGGAAATAAAGTACATTATGCTCTTCATCTTCTGCCAAAGTCAAAGTTTTTATCTCGCAACACGAAGAAGAAAATATTTAAAACACTGATACGACTAATAGTTTTATATGGCTTTGAAACTTGGAGCACAGCTAACAGTGATGAAGCCTTATTATACATTTTCTACACACACACACACACACACAAACTAACTCTTACAGCGAATCTTTCGACCCATCAAAGATGCAAACAGCGGGGAATGGATAGTGAGAAGCACAAGGGAAATTCCTAATCTGTTTAAATCACCAGTGATTCGTGGCACTGCTAGGGCTAATAGACTAAAATGGCTAGGGTATACATGAGAGCATGTCAGATGACAGAAAGGTAAAAACTGTATACACAAGGAGCGGACTGGTCGTAGACGTCGAGGTAGACCAAGAAGACGATGGAGAGATAATACCCAGACTTAGAAACACTTCGATGTCACCAGCTGGAAAGAGATGGCAAGCCCGAGAGATGAATGGAGGTGATACCCGCAGCAAAAAACCATAAGGACTCGGCATCGCACAATTCTGAAGAAGAAAAAGGGGTGGGGGAGAAGGGGGTTGAGGGCAGGAAATAGAAATTGCTTTTTTAACAATGCAAATGTTACTTAATGAGCTGATACGGTTGCTGTGATCGGTAAGTCAGGCGCCGTTTGTAAAGTGAAGATTTAAAAAGCAACGAAAGCAAACGAAAAGCATACTAGTCGCTTCAAAATCAAATTAAAAGCGACACGTGAACGTTGTGGCTAGAAAGCATTCATCAGATCATGACATGAACAGATAATGCTACAACTATAAACAAGAATGCACAAATCCGACTTATCTGTGAGAAATGACTATCTGGTCAATTGAAGTTCTGGCACGCGTGTAAATACAGGACATGGATCTAAGCCAGAAAAAGCTGTGACAGGCAAGGGTGGTAATTCAAAAGTATGAAATAAGGCAATATTGAACACCGCAGCGAAGAATGACTGTTATGCTTTTCCAAACCCTGTCTGTCGCACTAATTGTGTTATCGGCAACAGAGTTATTTTCATGGCTCTTGGGGGCGTGCAACTCTTAGCCATTTTAAATGGCGCACAAAGCCTGGTCACAATTATAACCTAAAGCTCCCCATTCGCGGATGCTGGTTGAATGTGACGACTTTTCCCCCCAGCAAAACACTAACCTACTTACTTGTGAGCTTTCTCAAACCATTGTTCGTCCATTATTTGGTAATATTCCACTTTTATCCTCTTATTGCTCTTATTTTCATCTTTTAATTAAAGTAAACGTTCCCTTTTAAGATGTTGTGAGACAATTTATCCTCCCCATCGTCACATTCTTCTTCTTCTTCTTTTTCTCTTTCTTCTTCTTCTTTTTCTCTTTCTTCTTCTTCTTTTTCCAAGCAAAATTGCGAATACCTGGTCTCTTAAACTTTTTATATACAGCCTGGAATTATCTGCCGAAACTACTTCTTCTTCTTCTTCTTCTTCTTTTTCTTCTTCTTCTTCTTCTTCTTCTTCTTCTTCTTCTTCTTTTTTCTTCTTCTTTTTTCTTCTTCTTTTTTCTTCTTCTTTATTTTTCTCATTCTTCTTCTTTCTCTTCTTCTTCTTCTCTATTTCTAATATCTGTTGTGATGCCTATCTGTTCCAAACATTTCAGTCAGGTAGCCCTCATAATGTCTGCATTTGGCTGTCTTAAACCCCGCCATCAGCAAAGCCTCCCAGCGGACAGATCAAAGGGAAAACAGAGACCACTCTATCCTCCAGGATGTAAAGATGGGGTGGGGTATGGGCGAGAGGAGCAGACACACAGGTGATTCAAGAACCTCATTCATCTTTATAAAACCTTATTTAGTCGCGATCATATTTTTTTTTTCAAAGTAAAGGAACCTTTTCCACGCCTTGAGGCGTATAGGGCATATAGGGCTAGACCTATATTTTTATAGACCAATTGGCACAAGATGGGTGATGTGGTCAGCATTACGCCGGCCGCCTTTTACTTCCCGGGACTGCACCCGGTATCCACTCAAGGCTGGGTCGACCTGGGAGCCAAGGTTATTTTGGAAAATAGTCCAGCTCCGCCAGGGAGCGAACCCACGACCTTCCGATCCACGGCGAGCGTCTAGCCACTCGGCCACGGGAACTCCTCGCGAACATATATCTAAGCCATAAAAGTCTAGCTCAGTGAACAAATGCTTGATGAAGTCGGACGTATTGGACTGGAACTATCGCAGGTACGCTGAAGACAGACGTATTACTATCTAAGCCTCAAAATGTTATCACTATTATGTTATTGTTATTACGAGTGACGTCTGAGGGCATAAGGAATAACAAACTAAGTTTCATCATTTCATTATAGTGAGCTCGATTCATCAACAAGAATTGCTGTAGTTGAACGATTAGCTTCAATTCTACGAAGGTATTAGCGACGATATTCAGAAAGTAGTATCAAACTACTGAACATAAAAATTGCCTAGAAAAACATAACAGCCAAAAAAATAAATATGTTGGGGTTGGTTCTGCAACGTACTGAAAAGGATACGCAACTTACTTTTAATTAGCGTCTAGCGTGCATAGGAATGAAGGAAGGCCAAAAAAAAAAAAAAACACACACACAAGGAGAAGAGAGCTGGAGAATGAAGTTAGAAAGACGGGGAGGACATAGGGAGAGCTCCATGCAATGGCGAAGGACAGAACGACTTGGCATAAGTTGGTTGAGGGCCTATGCTCCGTTGGGGGATAGAAAGGCAGAAGAAGAAGAAGCTTGCAAACTACTGAATGTAACATTTTTGCAAACGGCCAATAAATCCTTGGATCGGTTTGCAAAGCATTTAAAGAAGGGATATGTATGTACATATTTTGACATTTTTATTACTTTCCTCCTCCTCTACCACCACCACCTTCTTCTTCTTCTTCTTCTTCTTCTTCTTCTTCTTCTTCTTCTTCTTCTTCTTCTTCTTCTTCTTCTTCTTTTATCATCATCATCATCACCACCACCACCACCACCATCATCGTCATCATCATCATTATCATCATCAACATCATCATATTTGGCAACTCAGTTAATAGATAATGACACAATATTCAACTAAAGGTGATATTATTTGTCATTTCTTTTATAGTCATTTGAAATGACTGTTACCAAGACAATGCTAACTGGAGACTAACGTCATTTAAAGTTGTCGTTATTTGAGGATTTATAAAGGAAAGCAACACAAGTTCTTCACTGGAAATGTAACATGTGTGATGGACGTACGAGGAAAACTTCTGACACTCTACTGTCGCTTTCTGAAGAAATGTAATCTACGAATCAATATTAATCCACTGGGTCTGCAGTTGAATTGAATGGCTTGAGAATAATTGTCAAACGATCGCTGGAATTTATAGAGGTAGGTTCTAGATTCTCTTAGATCTTCTAGTCCTGGGAAAGTTGCCATAGGGCATTGAATGTTGCCTGGAAATCCCAGTCAGGGTGTAATAAAGAAGCCAGGGTGGCCTGGTGGCGAAAAGCGTGTCTGGCATAATAAACTGCCGCTACTGTCTGTAGTTCCCATTTATGCGATCTAGGCGGAGATGTCTT